TCCCTGGTCTCCAGCAGACCAGGGAGAGGAAGCAAAGCGGCGGAACACGCGGGCAGTGGACAGCCCAGACGCGTGGACCAACCCGGCAGCACCCCAGCTGCTCTGCCCCAGGCATCCCCCAAGTCAGCTGGTGTTGAAACTGACCAGGGACTGATTCCAGGACTTGATTGAATTCCTTTTAAAAAAAATGTACTAATGACAGATTTTAACAATACTCTTAATAAAAATCAAAATCTTCATCAAGACATGTATTTTTGAAGATACAGTTGTTTAAAGAACATGCACACTCATTTTACTTTCCAAAAGTCGTTTCTCCTTGAAATCCACAGATGGGAAGAAATAAGCCCATGTTTACAAAATATCCAAAAAGCTAGTAAAGTAAAAACATTTTACTTTTACATTTTTAAAAGCAAACTATAAAGTACTGTGAGAGTTAAGACAAAAATCCAGGAATTGTAAAGGAAAGGTACCCAATAGGTAGGCAGAAGCCTGAAATAATCTATCAAAACAGGAAAGATATAGTGAGGAAGGTAGAATAGAAAAGTAAAAGATTACATAGACAAAAAAATGTATTTCGAGACTTAATTATCTTTACTAAGTGTAATATATCACATTTCCCCCTCAGAATTACAGCAATTGCTATATTTATATCCTCTCAAGAGTTAAAAAAACCACCACAGAACTAAACCGCACAAGCCATGTTTTCTAGATTGCACAAGACTTTTGAATTGTGCAGTTAAATTATTAGGATAATTTTAAGACTCTAAGATCCTGAATACTATAGTACCTGTAATTATTCTAATTGCAAATATATGGCATTGTTCTGATTGCTTCAGTGAAACAAATATATAGCACAGGCTGCACCAACAGCATGTGAGACCAATGGGGCTTCTAATGCATACCAAACATCTTGTATGGCTCATTAATATAGCCATGCCATTAAAAGGCTCACCACTGGCAGAACACAAAGTAGTATAAAGATGGAGATTAAAACAAAAATCCCCGTTGTTCACTTCTTTAGAAATCAATATGACACTTTGTTATATGCTGAACAGAAATTGTAAGACAAAGACCTTATGAGTGGCAAATGTTAACATATTCCACAGGTACCTTCAACAAAGCAAAAAGGTGGGAACTACATCTTCTCAATATTCTAAGCTCTTTTACAAAATAAGGAAGTGAATATTCTTCATGAAATCCCGTTGATTAACTGGTAAATTGACATAGGAAAGTACAACAGCATGATCAAAATACGTACTCAAATTAAACTCTCTCATAAAAAAATGGCTATTCTGTACCTGTGAAGTTGACATGCGAGAAGTATCTTGGCGGCCTGTTAAATCAGACGAAGAGATATTGACAGGAGCACCACGATGCAGTCTCATACTAACTTTCCGTTCTCGCTCCATTCCAGACACTGGCCGAGGAGAGGCGTTAGCTGTAAGAAAGATTGCATTAATATTATCATCACTTAACTTTCTTGTAGTAAGGATGTTAAATTGCATTTAATAAGCTAATTGTGCAGTCGATGGAATTTCCATTGACTATTCGATTAGTTGATAAGGGAGGGAACTGCAGAGCCATGACGTGGGACCCTGAGTGGCTCTTACGACATTTAAAGGGGGTGTGTGTGCAGGGACTGGGCACGAGCTGGGACTCAGCTGTTCCGGCTTGCGCCCTGTCCCCCACTGTGCCTCTGCCTCCCCTGCCCACCTGCAGAGTCAGTGCTGGGGGGAATCAGCTTTTAAGCCAGCTCCCCACAGCACTAGCTCCTGCTCCCCCACCGTGCTGCCTCTGATAGAGGCGAAGGAGAGGACGGGGGAGGGAAAGCAACTAGTCGAGTAATGACTCAACTACTCACTTACATCCCTATTTTGTACTACAGTTAAAAAGGATTAAAAATATTTCCTGAAGTCACGTGTCTAGTCACATCACAGGTGCAGAACCTTTAAGTAGTAATTTAGCAGTTAATGGGTGCATACAATTCCCTTCAGTCTCCATTCAACAGATTAAGGGTCTAAAGACATTTTACACTATCTGAGGATTTAGATTTTCCAGTCGGAAGGATCAATAGTTTTTTGGATAGGAGGGTACAAATTTTTAAGACCTTAAAAAAAACCCAAAATTAACCAACCCCCTTACCCCCCACCATCTTTGTTAATCAGGATATGGGACAAACACCTCCATGAACTTAGTTCTCTTTCTTGGGTGCAATAGCTAATTTAGAATCCATCTCTAGGTATTTATAGTTGGGATTATTTTTCCCAATGCTCATCACTTTGCACTGAACACTGAATTTCATCTGACATTTTGTTGTCCCATCACCCAGTTTTGTGGGATTCCTGTGTAACTCCTCGCAGTGTGCTTTCAACTTCACTATCCTGAATAATTCTGTATTGTTCAGAAACACTAGCACTTCTGTTCACTCCCTTCTGAAGATCATTCATTAATATGTTGAACAGTTCAGGTTCTAGGACAGATCGCAGGGGTACCCCACTGTTCACCTCCTTCTGCTAGGAAAACAGATTTATTTATTTCAACCTATTCTATCTAGTAAAAGACTAACAGGGCTGCCTTGATCTCCTGATGTCAAGTATAAAACATCAGGCCCTAGAAATTCCTCAGCTGTGCTGTTAGCTGAAGGACCAGCAATCAGCTGCACCTGATCTTGTTGCCCTATGGCAGGGAGAAAAGGGAAAAGAAGATGGATCACTGGACAGATGCAAGGATTCAGATATAACCAAGTCTGCCACATCTAGAATGGTGAGACTAAGATCATTCTGGGTATCTTCTGCCAAATCTCCATAAATATTTCAGAGATGTATGGAAATGGAGGGAAGGTGTAAGGGGAGCTCTTTCTTAGTGAAAAATGCTGTCTAACACAGATGGTGGATCTCTGCTTGATCTTAATAGCTATAAACCCAGGCCAGAGTAAAGATCAACTCTGACTTGAAGTACTTGACCTGAAAACTACTATTTAGAGTAAGAATTTGCATGTAACAAGTTTCATATTGTATTGGAATTAGCTAGGGTCTTTTGCTTATTTTAACTAACTTACTTTTTGGTCTGCTTTCACTTGCTACTTTTTATACTTAATAAAAACACTTTTGGTTATTATCAAGCTCAGCGCAAATTGTTACGGGGGAAGAGTAACAACTCCATTTCTCGCTTTCATTCATAAAGGGACAAACATCTTTATGAGCTTTCTCTGTGTAAAACAGGGCAAGATGGATTTATGTGGCGTTTTGGTCCCTTTTGTGGGTTGGTTTCCTGGGTGTTATCAGCAGCCTTACAACCTAGCCCTCCCAGAGCTGAGCTGATTCAGTGTCTGTGTTGCTCTGCAGGAGGAAATGGTGACCCCAATTCTGTGACTTGGCTGACAGACACCAGATCTTCTGACCCAGCAGGACTGGGAGGGGAAGAGAGGACTCCAGACCACAGTGTCACACTGTTGACTCATATTTAGCTTGTGGTCCACTATGACCCCTACATCCCTTTCTGGAGTACTCCTTTCTAGACAGTCGCTTCCCATTCTGTATGTGTGAAACTGATTGTTCCTTCCTAAGTGGACTCCTCTGCATTTCTCCTTATTAAACTTCATCCTATTACCTCAGACCATTTCTCTAGTTTGTCCAGATCATTTTGAATTTTGACTCTATCCTCCAATGCACTTGCAACCCCTCCCAGCTTGGTATCCTCTGCAAACTTAATAAGCACGCTCTATGTCATCATCTAAATCGCTGATGAAAATATTGAACAGAACCGGTCCCAAAACAGACCCCTGCGGAACCCCACTTGTTATGCCCTTCCAGCAGGATTGTGAATCATTAATAACTACTCTCCGAGAACAGTTATCCAGCCAGTTATGCACCCACCTTATAGTAGCCCCATCTAAATTGTATTTGCCTAGTTTATTAGTAAGAATATCATGTGAGACCATATGTAATGTCTTACTAAAGTCTAGGTATACCACATCCACTGCTTCTCCCCCACCTGGCTTGTTATCCTATCAATGAAAGCTATCAAGAGTGGTTTGACATGATTTGTTCTTTACAAATCCATGCTTAATAATCACCTTATAACCTTCCAGATGTTTGCAGATGGATTCCTTAATTACCTGCTCCATTATCTTTCCTGGCACAGAAGTTAAACTGACTGGTCTGTAGTTTCCTGGGTTGTTCTTATTTCCCTTTTTATAGATGAGCACTAGATTTGCTCTTTTCCAGTCCTCTGGAATCTCTCCTGACTTCCATGATTTTTCAAAGATGATAGCTAGAGGCTCACGTACCTCCTCTATCAGCTCCTTGTGTAGTCTAGGATGCATTTCAGCAGGCCCTGGTGACTTGCAGACATCTAACTTTTCTAAATAATTTTTAACTTGTTCCTTTTTTATTTTAACTTCTAAACCTGCCCCATTCTCACTAACATTCACTATGTTAGACATCACTTCATCATGAAACTTCTTGGTAAAGATCTTAATGACTTCTTTGTTTCAAAGTCATCACACCACCCACACCAGTAGGTCGAGGGCTGCATGGAGGCCATCAAAGTTCTGGGTGCAAACCACAAGACGTTTTGTTTACTGTTGCGCATGCACAGGGTTGCCAGATTCTACTGGTTTCCATCCACAAAGGGGTTTTTTCCTACTGGTACTTCTAAAATGACAGACGTAAAGGAGAAGTACACGAAGGAAAGTGCATGCTGATTACACACAACACTGACAAAGAGCCGTGCGCTTCTGCTACTTCCACAGCTACGTCTCAATCAGCACATCCTGCAAGTGCACCTGGCAAGACTAGCCTATCCTCAGAAACTGTCTTGGTTACGGCAATCTTGAAGCCCATTGAGGTGAGGGAGGGACACTCACGTGGCCCACTTAATAGCCTAGGCTGCCCATCACTGATCCACAGACTGATTACTTTCTGACGAGACTATACAATTATATCTCATATCTGTGGTGAAAAGATTTTTGAGCCAACCTGCTGGCCCTCAGTTTATGTAGAGCTGCCCCTCTTAGCTTCCAAAGACCAGAGATCCTAAACATGTTTCCAAATCTTGTCTGGAGGCATTCACAAACATGTTGAGAGAAATGGATCTTTTACATATTTCCTGGTTCTAGACACTACCATAAAAAGGCCTGAGGGAGCAACACCAATAGAATGGAGCAATGACAGAAGTACCAAAAATAATAAATGGTCTAGGGAACAAATATCAGAAGCTTCTTTTTCCCTGTTTCATAACACAACAAACATTTAAAGAGATTGAAATGTGGCAAACTCTAAACTGATATAAAGAAATACTATTGTTTAATGAGTACTTTGATTGTGAAACTCACTGCCATAGGATGTTGATGAGGACACTACTTTAGCACACTTCAGAACGAACACAAACAAAGACTATGCAGCATTATAATGACTAATATTAAAGAGTATGGAAGTGTTATATAACATATGCATCACAGTTCAATGCAATTTCTAATTACGGAAAAGGAACAAAACTCTCTACTATGGGCTCTCTCAACCCTTCCTGTGGAGAATCTTGTACTGACTAGTCTGAAACGGAACATCTGACTAGGTGGATAACAGCTCTGATTCAGTAATTCCTAATTTTGGGTGAGACCAAAGGTAAATTAAAACACCCTAAAATTACGAGTATAATGAGCACCTATGTATAATGCGCACCCTAACTTTGCTATGTCAAAATCATGGGAAAAAATGAACACATATCTATAATGCGCACTCTGAATTTGCTGTATTTCCTGCCCTTTTGTATTTCTGGTCAACTGCACGAGTACATAAAGCGCAGTGTTTCGATGCTCTCTTTGTGATACCATGAGTTGTCGGCGATCTTACACTACAGCTGAAAAACTTAAGGTACTTGGGTATGCTGAGGCTCATGGCAACAGAGCTGCCAGCAGTGAATTTGATGGCATAGCAGAGTCTAACATTCGGCTTTGGAGATGGCAGAAAGAGTGCCTGCAAGCGTAGCCTCGGATGAAGATGGCTGAGCAAGGTAAAAGCGCTGCATATCCTGAGCTGGAGACCAAGCTGCTTGAGTGGATTGCTGAGCATCAACAGCAAGGCGGAGGCGTTAGCATTGCGGAGGTTCGAATGAAGGCTTTGACTTGTGAAAACTTGCGCCAACACAGCTGGATTTAAAGCTTCGCATGGCTGGAGTGATCGGTTCATGAATCAGCATGGCCTATAGGTCCAATGCCGAACGACAATTGCGCAGAAGCTACCCATGGACTCTGACACCAAGTTACTATAGTTTCAAAAGTTTATCATAAAACAATGCAAGGAGCACAGATACAACCTTTCATGAATCGGTAACACAGATCAGACACCTTTAAATTTCGATAATCCTTATGATAGAACGCTTGAAGTGAAAGGTGCCAAGACCATCTCAATTGCTACCACAGGGCATGAAAAGTCGAGGTTCACTGTAATGCTTGCTTGCATGGCCGACTGAATTAAACTGCCTCCTTATATTGTCAAGTGCAAGACAATGGCAAAGAATATTATATTCCTGAACACTGTTCATGTGCGTGTTCACCCTAAAGGCTGGATTGACGAAGCTTTAATGCTTGATTGGCTACAGATGGTTTGGGCAAAGCAGCTGGGTGGACTTATGAGAAAGCGGTCTGTAATAGTTTTGGATGCATTTTGTTGTCATCATATGTCATCCATCAAGAAAAGGCTTCAGCAGTACAAAACAGACTTGGCAATTATTCCTGGTGGAATGACCAAAATGTTGCAGCTGCTTGACGTGACCATTAACAAGCCAATGAAAGATGCACTATGCAGGAAATGGACCACCTGATTGTTGGAAGGTGAATATACATTTACTGCAGGTGGACGTATGCGAACTCCGATGCTGCAAGACGTGACCCAGTGGATAGCGGATGTCTGGCTTCAACTTGATCCTGCCATCATAAGGAAGGGGTTTCTGAAATGCAGCATCTCTAATGCTATGGATGGCAGCGAGGATGATGCCCTGTGGACAGATCCGAGTGACGATGAATAGGCCAACAGTGAATTATGCGAAGATTACAATGCTTGTATTACCTGGATGAAGATGTTGAGGGCTATACCCCGGAAGATATTGCTCGTCTGTTCGAGGACGATTCTAACAACAGCGAATTCAAGGGCTTTGAAGATGAGTAGAAGATCAATTAACATATTTGCGTGTTTGAGCTGCGGTGTTTATTTCCTTACTTTTACTTACTTTTTGGAAAGTGTATATGTTTGCTTGTCTATGCTAATAAAATTCAACTTAACCTCAGGTGTCCAGCAATTAACTAACTGATGCAGAACTTCCAAATGAAAACTTAAAAAAAATAACTCCTATAGATAATGCGCACCCAGACTTTGACGCTAAAAAATCTGGAAAAAAAAGCATGCATTATACTCGCGATTTTACGGTATCAAAAATCTGATAAAGTGCACTTTTCAGTCTAAACTGACAACGGAATCTGTTTGTCTAATATGAAGTACAAAGGGAAAGGTTGGCTCTAGCAGATGGTGGGGCTTTGGGGAGCTATGTGCATCACTTCAACTATTAGGAATGTAAAGGGTTAACTGGCTACCTGGTAAGCATTGCCTTACCGGCATGCTTACTTGGATAACCTGTTACAATGGTCCACAGTGTGTCACACCGTGCAGTGGGCTTTTGCAGCATTTCCAGGCCCACCTTGCTGTACGTCGGGCTGCTCCAGCTTGGCTGAACCCACCATGCTGCAGACGGGGGGCTGCTCCAGCGGTTCCCTACCCACAGAGTGACATAGTAGGCTAGTTAACATTTTAATGGGATTTTATATCCCTATCAACTACTGCTCCAAAATATTGGGTAGCAGCATGGCTTGATACAGGATTTCTGCAATGTGGTTCGCCGGAAGTAATGCCATGAACAGGAAATTAATTGTACAGTAGACTTCCGATAATCCAGCACCTTTGGGACCTAGGTGGTGCTGGGTTATTGGATATGCCGGAATATCGGGAGGTACTCTGGCAGGGGGCTGTGACAAGTCTGCTGGGACCCGCACTGCGTCCAGGGTGGGGTAGGGTGGAGGGGGTGGAGAATGGTGTGGCGAGGGGTAAACTCTCCACCGTTTTGTGGGAAGGCGGGGGAAGCCCTGCGCAGCTGCCGAGAGTTTCCAGGAGGGGAGTGGGCCCCCCACCCTCGAGACTGCAGTAGTTATCACTGAGCAGTGGGGTGAGGGGCGGCGCTGCGGGACCAACCCGGCAGGACCCCAGCTGCTCTGCTCCACCATTTCTCCAAGTCCGCCAAATGGTATTTTATTATTGTTTAATAGTGGGATTAAAATGGCAATTACAGTAGACTTCTGATAATCCGGCACCTTTGGGACTTAGGTGGTGCCAGATTATTGGATATGACAGAGTATCAGGAGGTACTCGTCAGTTTCAGCAGCAGCAGCGGCGGACTTGGGGAAGCGGTGGAGCAGAGCAGCTGGGGTGCCGCTGGGTTGGTCCCGCAGTGCCGCCCCTCACCCCCCTGCTCGGTGATAACTACTGGGGGGTGGGGAGCCCGCTTCCCTCCTGGAAACTCTCAGCAGTGGCACGGGGCTGAGCACAGCTGGAACAGGGCAAGTTCAGGGACTTAGCTCTCGCAGCTCCACGGGGCTTCCCCAGCCTTCCTGCAAAATGGCGGAGGGTTCGCCCCTCACCACACTGTTCCCCGCCCATCCCCCAACCCCCGGTTGGATGCAGTGTGGGTCCCAGTAGACCCGTCACAGGGGTATAATTCCCTTCCCCTCTTCTCTCCTTCCCTTTCCCAGCCGCGAGCATCCATGGGTATCACAGCAGCTCCAATTGTCCAGCTGGCCGGAGCACTTCCAGGTTCCAGTTGGTGCCGGACTATTGGGAGAGCCGGACCACTGGATGCCGGACAATTGGAGTTTTACTGTATTATCTGAATAAGTGAAAGTCGGAACTGAATTTCTAATATTATGTAACAGCAAGATCAAATGTGTATCTAAATTCATTTTAGCTTGCCATTGACCTGGAAATCTATTCTCATGACGACTAGGTTGAGGGACAATAAAAGAAGATCTAAGTCCAACTTCAGTAGACAAGCTGGTTATTTAAACAAGTAAAAAAAGGCTTAAAAGAAAAAAAAAAAACCCTCAGCCCTATGGAATTTTATGTTATTCCTTACATAAGTAGAAAATCATTTTGCTATACAATTAAAAATCAAATCACCATTAGGGAAAATCTCGTTATATACAACTGTTTACATTTATTAGTCTGAAGTGGGGACTCCGCAGAACACTTAAAAACAGAACAACATTATATAAATCTAATGTCCTGAGATTAAGTTACAGGTTGGACTTCCCTTGACCGGCACTCTCGGGACCAACCCTCTCCCTAATAAGGGAATTTGCCAGATCGGGGCGGCCCCCTACCACCGGCCTCCAAGGATGTTCCCCCTTCTCTGCAGCTGTCTCTGCTCCAGCCCCACTGCCACTGGGCTCCAGCCCACTGGGGCTCTCCAGAGATGGAGCTCCCCAGCTGCCATGGCCCCGCTTCTCAGCTGCCCCACTTCTGCTGAACACTGCCCCTCTTTTGCTGGGGATCCCTGGGTATGGAACTTGCTGGTCCTGCTACTGCCCCGCCCAGCCAGGAATGGAGCTTGCCAGTTTCACTGGCCGGGGCTCCCAGGCGGTTTGCACTCCCGGGTGCTGGGGCTCTCTGATCCAGCAACATCTGTGATCTTACTGGACTATGGATGTCGCTGACCAGAGTCTCCTGGATTTCAGGGGTTCATCCTGTAGCTTGGAAAAGGTGCGATTTCAATCTAAATCAGACTAGCAAGTAGTGAGGCCATTACTATGCACAATAGAAAGGAAAACTTGTTCAGCAATTTATGGAAAGAACAGCATTTACAGAACATAAGAACGGCCGTACTGGGTCAGACCAAAGGTCCATCTAGCCCAGTATCCTGTCTACTGACAGTGGCCAGCACCAGGTGCCCCAGAGAGGGTGGACCGAAGACAATGATCAAGCGATTTGTCTCCTGCCATCCCTCTCCAGCCTCTGACAAACAGAGGCCAAGGACACCATTTTATCCCCTGGCTAATAGCCTTTTATGGACCTAACCTCCATGAAATTATCTAGCTTCTCTTTAAACTCTATTATAGTCCTAGCCTTCACAGCCTCCTCTGGCAAGGAGTTCCACAGGTTGACTACACACTGTGTGAAGAAGAACTTTCTTTTATTAGTTTTAAACACAGAGAGTAAGTTTATAAAATATTTCCCTACTCCTCATTATTTACTCAAGTTGATTTTGAAGGACAACAAAATAGTATGTATCAATTTCCAATAATCAGGAAGCAGTCGAAGAACAGTATAATCTGCAGCCTCAGTCTGCCCCAGGAGTTAGATGACTTACCGGTATGCGAAGTTGGGGTAAGGGGAGCAGGAGGAGTTACGTCCTGCGTTCCCCTCAGCCTCCCAGAGGCAGTGGAGGGCAAACCACGTACTGCAGGATTTCGTGTATGTCTCAGCCTTTCCTCTCGCTCTCTCCTTTCACGTTCAGCATCTTCAGCGACTCTGCTTGCTCCCTGTAAGTCATGAGACCATAAATAATCAGGCTGAGTATTGAGCTTAGTATTGCATTTCAAACAATTACTAATGGCTAAAATAACATTTCACACACAAAGTGTAAAATGGAATCTGGCAGTTTGTTTCTGTAAGTTCTCATCAAAACTCTGATACTGAATTTAATTTGTATTTCATTCTAGCATGCATATATTACAGTGATCAGAGGGACTGGGGTGTTAGAAAGCCTAACTAACATTTTCATTGTATGGTACCTCACAATATAGTTACAAGTAACAGTAATTGCCTTCTTTCAAAAACTCAAAAGTTGACTTCACAAACCCCAGAACCTGTTTTGATGGGAAAATACTGTAGGGGAGTGTGGACAATCCTGTCTTGACCAAAATAATAATGTCTGAATTGTCCGGCCCTACCCTGACTGAACTAACAATGGCTGTCTTGCCCAAAGTGCAGATTTCTAACAAAGCAAAGCCAAGCCTGTCTCAAGTCTGGTGCACATATGCATGCAAGCCAGGTCAAGGTGGAGGGGGAGCTTTGAGAATCAAGAGTGCTTTAAACAATCGTGCGTAGGGAGTATGGTACAGTGAAACCACGCCAAGAACATTGGGAAAAACCTGGCACAGGTACATAATATTTCAGTTAAATAAAAATCACAGATACATTCATGGAACTGTCAATCAAATATAGTTTTTTTGCAATATAGGCAGTCCCTGGGTTACGTACAAGATAGGGACTGTAGGTTTGTTCTTAAGTTGAATTTGTATGTAAGTCGGACTGGTACATATTGTAGGGGAAACTCTAGCCAAACATTTCCCCAAGCTCAGTTTTATTCTCCCACACCTCACTTCCCTCAGTCCTTTATTCTCAAGCTGAGGTGTCTGCTGAGAAAAGCCGCTCGTCTCCCTGGTCTGCTGGGGGGGACGTCTCCCTGGTCTGCTGGGGGGAAGCAGCTAGTGCGGGGTTGCCTCACCCCGTTTGTAAGTAGGGATCCGATGCAAGTCGGATCCATGTAACCCGTAGTCTGTAGTCTGAATAGCAGGATGTATCCCAAATATGGGCATAATAGGTATTTTATGCAATACATAATCAATTGGTAGATATATTATATTCTTATGTTTTATGTTCTTAAATTACTAGAACGACTAAGTCGAGAATAAATATAGGTGTAGAAAAGAATCAGTGGGCGGGATTGGGCAAGGTGTCCCTACTACCTTACTCACTGCAACTAGAAGCTGTGCCTGTTCCTACTAACCAATGCACTGTGGACACCTTGGTGTCTGTTGGCTCCTTTCATATCTAATAACCAGAATCACGCAACAAATACCAATTAAAGATTCAGTTATACTTAATCATACTTTGTACCCTAAAACTGATCTCACACTGGCAGACCACAAGAAGAGTGGAATTCTTAAATGAAGACGCTTGATTAAAAATTTCCTACTTTAGGGAAAGCCACTTATGCCAAATTTCTCCCTTGTGAACAGGAAAAGAATTGATCTTTCTACTCTAGGTATGAGACATTCATTAGTCTGGTACAGTGATTTCTAGTGATGACTGATTAGGTCTACACTGGTTCAAAAAAAAACCTGGGCACACATTGAGGCTGGAGCCCAGACCAACATTCCATCTGCAATCTCTCAGAATAGTAGTAACACAACAGTACCCTTTGTGGTTTACACAGGCATGTGCTCCTCGAAGAGGGCAAACTATGGGCATCAATAGCCTCAGTAGAATCCAGGCAACCCCATTCTCTCAAAATCAGCACTAACGTCAAGAATATTTGTTATTCTCACCACCTTGGGATAAACCACACGCCTTATTGCCTCAGAAAATTCTGCCACCACTTCACCTACAGTACACTTTCTAACAGCAAACTGGTACGTAACAGACCTGTAGCACTTCGGGGTAACCAATTTCCAGATGGCTATTGCATCACCACTCCTGGAATGGTAAGGGTAGCATCATGCATGATTTTACATTTTCAGGTGGGAAAACCTGTTCAAAAAGCTCCAGAAAGGTAACTTTCTTCATACAAAATTTCGGAAATCTCTGCTAATCATCCCATGTCTAGATGATGACATGATTCTATTAGTCTGTGCTTGTGGCCCTGCATAGTGGGCAGCTATATTAAGTGCTGTGGGCACCCTTAACCAGTGAGAGTCTGACACACTTACGTACTCCCTCACCTCTGCCCCCTCTTCCTTGCAGCCCATCATAATTTCTTTCAGTTGCCTTTGGTGGGCAAAACACATTGCCACAATATCCACCAGAGGCTCACAGAAACTCTGCTTGTTTCCTGACACAGGAGTGAAGGGAAACGTTCTTGGAAAGACACCTCCTCCAGCAGATGGGACCACAGAGACAAAAATGACAATTCAGCAATACATGTTGGCTAGATTTACAAAGTTGCGGGAGAGGGGGTTAGGAATCAAGTTTTCCTGCGGTGCACCACAGTCAAAGGGCTAAAGCAGCTATGTTTCAGGAAGGCACCAAAAAGTCTGGGAAATGGTTGGTTAGACTCAGGTCTGTGCGCTAAAAAGTGGATGCTGGCACCCCAAGTTGATGAAAAAATGTATTAGAGTTTCAATATTCATTGCATTTGAAAATTGACATCTTACCATTGATTCATAATGGGGAGTTCCAATTCCCCTTTGCATCTTATTCTTAACATACGGAATCAACTAATCAATTTAGAACTAGGGATATAAGTGACTAGTCGACTACCCAATAAGCATAAGCTTATCGGATAGTCGAGTAGTGACTTGACAAGTTGCTTCCCTCTCTCTTGCTGCCTCTATCAAGAGAAAGGAGGGGAGCAGGAACCAGTGCGGGGGGAGGGGGGGGGCAGCTTAAAAGATGGTTCCACCCAGCACTGTCTCCTGGGTGCTGCCTGCTTTCCCCAGCTGCCTGTATCAGAGGCAGCGGGGGAAGGAGGGAGGGGCGGGGAAATAGGGGGGGGCGGGGGCAAGGAAGCCAT